AGCCTATGGCTTATTTTCTTTCCATTTTCTGGTAATTTGTCGTTGGGATTCTCTTTCAATCTGATTCATTAATCGCCATTCTCTGATCTATTAGGTATGATCGAATAACTTAATGATACTTAACTACGGTATGAATAAAAAGTATGGCTCCTGATGTAGCATTGTGATTGCGTAAAGGGCATAAAGTGTATAGTAAGGATTTGTGAGGTCGTCTGAGCCCAGCGGTATCCATTCAACTTTTATCCATAGGGTGAGTGGCATAAAGCTTCCCTGCTTTCTGTTTGGTTTTAAATGTTTGCAATTGCCCACAGTTCTTCCGCCCTGATTTGCAGTCAAAGTATCTTTCTAACAGCACTTATAACATGGGCTTGTCAGTCTTTGATAACACCGTTGCCCGTTCATTTGTTGTCTGAAGTCGACACCTCTCTATTCTCGTATTTTCCTTCATTTTCACGCCTTGCATGCTTTTTGAAGGTCGGCAGTGGAATGCGCTACGAGACTATTGACGATCGATATTTGAAGCAGAAGGATGAACAACTTCAGCCCAATGAGGAAGAAGTAGTATTGGTCCAGAACGTGATCACAACCATCGAGAAGGCGTTGAAAAGCGTTTCAGACATCCTGACTGCTGAAGCTGTTGCAACAATCGATAGGTAATTTCAGTTTTTCCATTTAACCTAAAAGTTCTTGTTATAAAGCTCATCCTATGAGAAGCTGCAATGCCCTTTCATATTGAGGCAAAAAATTGGGTACGTAGCTTACTCCGATTTCATTTATGAGTTAAAAATACTTATTAATTGAATGACTTTTGACTTAGGACAATGTTTTAATGAGAGATAAAGTTAACCGATCAGTTTATTGATTGATTCATTCTTGTTTTTTATTCATTCACTCGTTGTCGAAGTCCGTTCTTCTGTTCGGGTCGTCGGCACAATGACTTTAAAAGGCGTTGCTCAGAGTAACATCCGCTGCCAAACGAACAGGCTCAGTGGTATCGATTCCAAGGCGCAAAACGCCACAGTATCAGGTCTGCAAAACAGCTTTCTGAGCAGGCTGCCCCTGGGCTCCCTTCCATGTGGCTTTGCCGGAGTGCGCTCGGCGCGTCTTGGCATACTCATCACGTACTGACTATCGTCGTCCGTCGAGCTGCGTGAAACTTTTGCATAAAATTATAGAATTGTTTTTTGGTATACGTGAGCATGTGCATATTATAAAAATTCTCAAAATATGAGACTGGAAGATGAGAATTAAGTAGAAAAAAATGTAAATGACTGCGCCGCATATGAAGATGTATACGTTGTTTTTCGATGTGCGAAAGCTTTCTCATAAATGATGCTGATGATGTCTTTTACCAGAGAATCGAAAGAGCAGGAAGTTGCCGAAACGGATACGTCGACACAGGTGAAAGAGGCAGGAACCGACGAAACGCCACAGACAGTTCAACTTGGCTCGGAGGAAAGAATTCTAAGGGGTGTTATGCGCGTTGGCAACTTCGCCAAAGGTCTGCTAATGCATGGCAGCTTGACCGCGCGGCTGGTAGCGATGTGTTCAAAAATTCCCACCGTTCAACTGTTGAATAAAGTTCTGGAATTGCTGCCCGAACAGCTGGCGGTAAGCACCTGACGATGCTTCGATTTGATGCATCGCTCTTGTTTATCTTGAATGGCCTAAAATCTTTCGAATTGCTTTATTTCTACAGCCATTAAAACATAAATGTCTTTTTAAATATTCTTTGAAAGTTTTGCTTGACGAGAAGTACACAGCACGGCGAGAAGGTCAGATGCTTCACTTTATGAGCCAGTAAGACAAAATTCAAAAATCGCCCGGTATGCCACACATCACTGTGGCCTAAGAGTACTATCACATAGAGTGGAAACCTGCCTTGTGCTTACCATGTTGTAGGTATTATTCGATATTTTAATTTAGTTTATTGCAACACTAAGTTATTTCAACAGATTGTAGCTAAGAGTCGTTTCATTTATCACAGATGTCCGGCAAACTTTGTTTGCACATATCATATTCACGTTTAAAAGTTCCGAGGTTCGATGTCTTATCTTGCCACTTATTTCTTCGTAGAGTTGTAAGCAGATGAATATCACTTAATGGTAATTCAACAGAAACTACAGATTGTGCCTGCTCCACTTGTGTACAGTCATATATACTGCTGTTAGAAGTAACATGTGAATTTATAATTATTTCGTACATGCACTGTATGCATACAGTCATTATTTCAAAGTAGTGCTATATGTAGCGTTACTTTGTTACCTAGTATTTGATGTTATAATGCATTGAGGTGATATGACATGTTTAAAATATACGTACTGTACAGTTATAGACTTATGGATTGTGTAAGGTAATAATAAACGCATTTAGCTGCTCCAATACCACAAACAGGTGTTTGCTCTTAGCATTGCATGTAGAACGAGGGTGGCTTACACGTTAATATCGGTTTGATTCCGTTAAACGTCTATATGATGGTGGTACGTTTAAAACTTTTTATGGTGGTGGTGCAGGAAAACATAATTTCATCAAGTCTATTTAACCTGGCTAGTTTATAGCATCGCTTTCTTCTCTTAAATTCTCATTTCTTGACCAGATTGATGCCTTCCACGTCAGTATCGTTGTTTAAAAGACATGCACTCTTCGAATGCTTTATTAGGGATGTAAAAATTGATCGGAAATGCTTTAACAAAGTATTTGAGAAGTTTTTCTTGTTCTTAGAAGTTAACTGAAGACAAGTATAACATGAACGCGTCCCCGGAAAACGCATGCATCGCGATCGCCTCAGCTACCGACGAACGGGTGTTCGTCGAACTGCTTTTTACGTCGGTGCTCGTGCGCGAGTTGCCGCCGGTCGAAGGAGTTGGTAAGTTTGTCTCTGTTTGGTGGGGGCGGCGGCGAACGGCTTGTGCACTTGTGTGTAACGGAGCGATGGTCCGCGACGGCATCCGACAGGAGCTGCGCTCGCGAATCGCTCCTTTTCACGCATAATATTTTTTTTCGTACATTTACCGTTTCACCAACGAACCGTGCTGCGGGCCTTTTCTGTACATGTACGTCGCGAGAGGCACAGCTTAGCGCGCGGTAAGATACAAATTTGGTCTTTTCCTGGTCGTTTTTGTATCTTTATGTGCCTTTCTATGTTCGTTGTTTTGTTTACGATGCTTATAGAATTTTTTCTCGTTTATGTCAAGACAACGAACAATTTTTTGTAAACTCGTATTTTGTTTTTTTGAGCTACACAGGACGAATTTTTTTAAAAAGAAATTTCTAAACTGTGACGGTTCGAGCTCGTTTTATGTCTTCACGGTAGCGATCTATCGAACCGCTCAGCTCTTGTGGCAAACATGCCCTTTAATTTATATAAGGAACAAACAGAAGGCATAGCAAACAGCGTGAATATCTGTTGTACGGTGATCTTTTTTCTAGATGATCTTTAAATTTCATCATTTTATTTAGACTTCAAGTTTAAACTTCTTTAATCTAACTGACCGGTGTTTCTAGTAGGGGCCTCGCCCATGCTCGGTTGCTCGTTGTGCTTTTTTCATGCCTTCTTATTGTATCTTTATATATATTTTTATAGCGATGTTGACTGACTGATTTAGCTAAGCTGTGCTTTTCGGCTCGAAACTAGAGACGAGACGCGCGAAACGTGTGTGTAAAGCGGGCCGTGCGTGGCCTGGTGGCGTGGCGTGACGTAGCGACTGGCGCCCGTTGCTGAAGCCCTCGCTCGCTTGCCTCATGCCTGGTCACAACCCTTTCTCGAGCCGCCGCGGGAACAGGGTTTGACCGGCGGTGGCCAGTGGGCGGTGCGACCAATAATGATGAACACGTTTTTTGCTTAACAGCTGTTTGCTGGTCTGGTCTCATCAGCTTTCTTTATGTTTGCTAGACCGCTCTGCCACCAACTCAGCTCCGAATGATTCTAGCCTGGATAAGCAAAAATGCCTGGATGCGCTGGCTGAGTTGCGCCACGCTAAATGGTTTCAGGTGTGTTTCTCTTTCTCCAACTTTTCCCAATGTACTAATAGTATTTTTACAGTAGTTTTTGTTTTGTTAAAATTTTGTTTTCGTATTTTTATATACA